CTCTTCTCGGGAGCGAAGGCCATCCCTCGGGTGTCCGCCCACCGCAGACATATCTCCCAGGCCGCCTCCAGCTGTCGGACGTTGGTCTCCGGATCTCGGCCAAAGACTAAGAGATTGGTGTCGTCTGCAAAGCCAGCTATCGCTAGGTGGGGGTGTTGTTCTTTCAGCTGCTTGTATAGAGAGGCGATATAGAGGATGAAGAGAGCTGGAGAGAGGGGAGAACCCTGAGGCACTCCAGCCCGTATGGCTGTCGGGGAGGCTGCCTGGCTGTCAAAGTGAAGGGTTGCCTCCTGTCCGGTTAGCCAGTCTTTTGTCCATAGGACCAGCCACCTTGAAAACCCATCTCTCGAAGAGTGGCAAGTAGTCGGGCATGGTTAACCGTGTCGAAGGCTCCTGAGATATCCAGCTGGAGTAGCGATGCTGTTGCTTTCTGCCTCCACGCTTCTTGAACCTGAGCTACTACTAGTCGGACCGCGAGCTCTGTTGACCGGTGTGCTCTGTTGCCCATCTGTTCGTCCGGAAGTAGGCCGTTGGTCTCTGCGGCTCGGGTAACCTTCTCAGCCACCACTGACTCTATTACTTTCCCGAGGGTTGGTAGTAGGACGATCGGCCTGTAGCCTCCTGGTCTGATAAGCTAGCGGAGTCTTTCCCGGCTTCGGCAGAACCACGGTCTTTGCTCTCTTGAACCGGCTTGGAAACCAGCCTAACTGCAGACACCTTGTAGCTAGTATAGCCAGTGCGTTGACCAGCGGCTTCCCACACGCTTTCAAGAAGCCTGTAGGAAGCAAATCTTCGCCTGGTGCTTCTTCTGAGGAGTGCTTTCCTCTGCAACCCAAATCAGCCAGCCCACCAGATCGTCGAAAGCTTTGCTAAGGCCGTCAACTGTCCGGATCCTAACCGCTAAGCGGTTGGGACCTGGATCTGTAAGGCCAATGACTCTGTAGAGCAGCTTCGACTCGGGTTCTACTCTCCCCTTGTCCATATTCTTCCAGAATCACCCAGCTGGCTGGGCCAGCCTCGGTCTATTTCCTTCTCCTATCTTGAGTGCTTGTGGGTGGTGATCTGAGTTGCCGCGGCACTTCTCGCCATTGTACACTGCTTGGAGTTCCTCTGAAGTCCAGATGTGATCGATAGTTGACGTACGGCCTCGCTGCTGTCCTTGGGGGGAGGGTTCAATATTTGGAGTTACTGACTCACCAAATCCCGTGTCACGTTTTAGACCCGAACATCGTGGCCCTGATCCTCCGTCGCAGTCACTGCCAAGGATTACTTAGCCTGGCAAAGGCAGAGCCTTGTGTGTGCTTGTTTGCAGACAATTGACTCTTTGTCCCCAGGCAGCAGGCCGTCATGGCAACATAAAATTGAACTGTAGCAATCTCACCACCAGTGACTAGACTCCAAGAAACAATCTAACTGAACAGACAACGAAATGAGCATAAAGAAATTGGAGACCCTGTCTGGGGTGTTTTTTCCGTAGAGCAGGACCTGATTATAATATAAGTCTCTGTACGAATTCACAATGCACTCTATGCCTCGCCCAGACGATGCCAAACTAACAAGGTTGGCAGGCGGTGTACAGTGTGCTGCCCGAGCTGGCGGCGCCGGGGGCGGATCGCCGGTTCACTGACGAGCGAGTGCGATGGGCGCGGGACTGGACGACGGGTGGAAAAAAGGCTGAGGAAGTTGAGGACGAGGACTATGAGAATGCCATTATGCTGCAGGTTGACACCGGGTCGCCGTGCTGATTGTGCTGAATGAGAAGGCCTTCAAATCGGGGGAGGACGGGCTAATACTGCGAGACACGAAAGGGAAACCGGTGAAGAAGACGACGTTCTGTTACCTAGAGGAGGTAAATGCTTAGTATATTTCGGTTGAGGTTCGTGGTATGCTGCTGGAGTTGGGGTATTGGAACCCCAGCGTGATTGGGAAGAAGTATCGTCACGGAGGAAAATCATGCAAAAGCTGCTGATTAATTTGGTGAGCTAAACAAAAGACTGACAGTTAAGACTTCAGAATGTGCCTCGGTGTACGCAGGACAGGAACTCCAGCGCAGGCAAAGTCGCCGATCGTGGGACCTGACTCTCTGAGATCTGTCCTCCTCCCGGTCTTTGTCTTTCCATAAAGGATTAGGAATAAAGCCAGGCCTTGGCTGTCGTCGGCCAAACAGAAAAATGCTGGGGATTGCTCAGCCTGGCCCGTTAATAGTGGTTGGAATCTGAACCCTTCCATTGTTTGTGGCTATCTCATTTCCTGGTTCCACACTCCACCAGGCAACAGGGCCATCGCCGTCGCGCTAACGGTTGGCTGCCTGTACGGAATAAAGGTGGGTCGTTGCCCCTGGATTTGGTCAGGTACTGTACCTTGGCGGCAGCCCGACAGTTGAATTCGAACAAGACATTTAAGGAAGACACCGCCCTTAGAGACTGCTTGTTGATTCTCACAACTACTCTTTCTACCCTTTCTCACTGACAGCGGTTTTCAAAATGATTTTCGAATTGGACAGCTTTGATACCGGCGAGCACGCTGCGGTGCATGATGTCTACCAGCGTTGCGTCCTGTTGTCTGGGAAGTGCAAGACCGATGAGGCTCAGAACAACAATGACAGTTATGTTGTGATAAAGACCAACGACAATGCCGGCCATCCGTTATGCCCTGAACAGCGCTGGCCGATGTGCGGGGGCGACTTCAAGGCTCTTGTTCTGCTGTCCCCAGGGCTGAACAACATTGTGATCAGCTCCGACCAGCACGGCTCCAGCTGTCGGACTGAGGTACCCCCCGCCCTTGTTTCCACTACAATTAGGTACCTTCTAACACTCTTCCAGCTCTCCCTCCGCTACACGCCTCTTCTACAAACCCCTCCCCTCCATCTCGCCATCCTGATCGCCTCCGACTCCCCCCTCCTAATCGACTGCCCCTCCTCCAAATACGGCGCCTTCTCAACCGCCCACTCCAGCCTCTCTGCCGCCATCGCCAAGTTCCGCATGACCGCCTACATGTGGCAGGCCCTCACCGCTGAAGACCTCCACCTCAAAGGCCTCGGCCGCCGGTCCTTCCGCCTCGAAGAGGAATGGGCTCCCGACACCCTCCTCCAATCCTCCCACCACAACCCCGGCCAAAACCAAACCATATCTTCCGTCCCAAAAGTCCACCTCATCCGCACCCCCAAAACCCTCGCCGACCTCCGCTCCGCAAACCTCTCCCAACAGAACCCCTCCGCCGAGTCTCCAGACCTCCTCCATAGCATATTTACCACCGCTCTCCTTGCCCACGGCGCCCCCTTCACCTCCACCTCCCATCCCATTGTGGCAGGCCTCATCCTCGACTCGCACTACGACCCCAGCACCAACTTCATCCTCGCCCACGCCGCGCTTGGAATCCACCAGCCCAACGGTCTCTCCCTCGGCATGTTCGGGAGCCACCTGACCTACGCGTGGCCAAGGTTCCTGGAGGAGGTGGCGCCGTGTTTGGTGGATGAGACACCGCCGGGAGATACGGTGGGGAATGATAATGGGGAGTGTAAGAGCATGTGGCGTGCGTGCACGGTGGGGCAGGGGGCGTTTTTGCATGAGGTGGGACACGCTTTTGGGGCCGGGCATGGTGGGGAATTATGGGGAGGGGTTATTCGGCGGATTGGAGGTTGGCGTTTGTGTCGGGGAAGTGGAAGCGGAGGGATCGGAGTCATAAGTGTCGGTGGAATTTGGGGATGCTTTGATGTTTAGGGGTTGAGGGAGTTTTGGATGCCCGGGGATGGGGAATGAGTAGGGGGCGCCGTTGGTTTGGGTTGAAGATGGGGAAGGGGGCGAGGTGTTTGTTGAGATCAAGTGTCCTGCGGGCATTGGAAGAGTGTTGTTTTTGCCGGTGGACGGGAAGGAGAGCGTGGCGAACAACGGGGTAATGGTTGCAGAGCCCCCGACGGCTCTTCGGTACTCGCGCGCGGAGCTCAAGAAGAGATTCGGCGTCAGAAAACCCGTCGGCCTGGAAGTCACCGCCATGAATGGCAAGCAGTATAAGGTCAACAATATTTGGAGCCTGTTCAACAACAGCTCGTCTATCACCGTCCCCGGCACAGACATCTGCTTGTTGAAGCGGTGCATTGGAGACTTCCCCAACGAGCACGAGCGCAGGGATGTGTGGGAATGGGCGGTCATGCTCAAGAAGCGGGACAAAACTGGCAACCTGGTCGACGCCTACAAAATTGATTTGCGCGTGGGCTGCGGTCTGGACGGGGCTGTGGTCTACTACAAGGACGGCGAGAAGATACCCTGCGGCCCAAGAGGCCCTGAGGGCGGCAACGATCCCCGCATGGGCGGGCATCAGTCAAAAAAGCTTGGCCTTCCCGATGGCGTGGAGATTTCCAAGGTTGCCGTAAACCGAGGTCATGGCGGTGGATTGGTGGGCTTGCGCATGCGGCTTTCTAATGGAGAGGCATTGGGAGCACTCAACAGCTACAATGGAACGTCGTTGGAGACACTGGGTGAGTTTGCTGGATGGGCCACCTCTTACATTAATAAGCATCAAGTTGCTAACTATACCGCAGTGCCGCCGCCTGGCCACAAGATCATTGGCTTCTATGGGCTCAGTAGGAACTGGGGGGCGTGGATGTGTCAGTGTTTCGGAATCGTGACGGCCCCACGGGATGTCGCCCTTCCCGACTCGGTCTACGACATGGAAGAGCTACAGAACAAGCCACGGCAAGATGGTCACTCTAATAAGAGACGCCGCATTGTGAGTTTGCCGCCATCTTTCGTTGCGGGCTGCAGCTGACATATTGCCAGGGGGAAGTGGAGAAAGAAGAGCTTGAGCCTGAGGACGGCGAGATGAGCGACGGTTGTGCTGGAACTCCCGAGGATTTGGAGGATGAGGATGGCGACTACGACGATTGAGTTAAATTTTAAGGTGGCGACGTGGTATGCGCTATAAACTACATGAGACTTTGCGAGTTTTGATGCTATCATCAATAACAAAGGAAAAAAGACAAAAAAGAAAGAAGAAAGCTGAAATGATTTTGCCCGGGATCGAACCGGGGACCTTGTGTGTGTGAGACACACGTGATAACCACTACACCACAAAACCATTGATTAATGAAGCCTGTAGAAGGGATAATAGCATCCAATCTCTCTGGCGGGAGACTGGGAACTTTGAGGTCGTTGTTGCGGAAGATAAGTTAGGGTTGATGAAGTGGGTGCGCCAACTTCCAATTCTTTTTTTGCTGGCCCTCCAGAAAACACCATACAGGGTTTAAGGGAACGCGTGATTTGTGAAAAACAACAAAAACACAATGGGCCAGTCCTCAATGGTCTCCCTTGGTCAAGCTGCCAACAGGTCAAGCCCCTTTGTTGCGGAACTGTCAAGGCTCAGCTGCCAGAACAAGCACCTGCTTATTACCCAGGGCTTTCACAGGACTATTGAATTGACTATCAGATGGCTGTAAAAGATCTTCCATAGGTAATACAAAGTGTGTCATGACTGATCGTCGTCGTCTTTGTCTCGGCAGCGTTCAAGCGGATGACCACCCAGCCAATGACGCGACCTTCAAAACCACAACGGGCAGGCCAATGCGGAGAACGCGAGTCCACGGCTTTAAACATGTCACAAGATTAACGGGCCTTGTTTCCTTCCCATCTTGTCTAAGTTGGGCCTTGGGGCTGGGACTCGTGGCTAGACCGCACCTTGTTTAGCCCAGGGGAGAGGATGGAAGGACCGACAACAACGCTTATTGGCTGCTCAATACTTTGAACATGGGACGAAATACTCGTTCCTTCCCTCCATCTGATCTCTGGTAAACGTTTGGGTGCCCTGCCCTCGTGCCCTTAAAAACCCTGCCCCTAAACCACTCTTGAATTTTTCCTTCTTCCTCCCACAAACTTCTCCTCCATTCACCACTTTCGTTTCAAAACCTGCTTCATCAGTTCCATCTCGGTGCGCCTCGACGGACACGATTCTCGCTGGGCAAGTGCCTCGTCTTGAAAGTAAGTCCCGGTCTGCGACTCCGACCTCCTTCGACTCTTTCGACACCAGGTCCAGGCCGTTCAGGTGAAGAATCCCCGTCTTTCGTTCCTTCGCCGCCAAGCTAGAACACCTCGAAGACACACTCCTTTAAAGTCCCGATACACTCCTTCAAGCCCCAACAACACCTACCTAGCTACCCAACACATCACACTCCTTCACTTCACGGTGACAGCCTAACCAACACTATGCTGCGTGTGCTCCTGGTTCAGACGGCGCAGGGCCTGTCCCCCTCGTCTGGCGGCTACAAGGCCAATATCAATCTCCTTCGTGCCCTTACCTCCCAAGGCCATGCTGCCGCCCAGATCTGCTACGGCCGGCAGGACGAAATCGAGCAATTCATCGACCGTGCCAATTTCAAGGGCATCGAGCTTAACAAATCCAGCAAGCCGCTTTCCTTGGTTGACAAGGAAGGCTTTGTCTTCGATTCCTTCACCAAAATGTTTCACGATGAGGACAACGTCTACAACGTTGTCATCTCTCGAGATTCGTTCAATGCCGGGTATCCAATCCGGGAGTTTTAGGAAGACACCCGCGCCTACCTGGAGGTAAATATCGCTCTTCTATCCAACCCAATACATTGGAAGGAAGGTCACTAACACTACGGATAGCGTGACAACATCTCCGCTCGCATGCAGGCCCTCATCGACCTCTGGGAAGCGCGGATCAAGGAGTTCAAGCCAACCCATGTTATCTTCAACGACCCCATTACCATGAAGGTTACGGGCCACGAGAAGTTCGCCGGCATGTTCAAGCGGATCAACATTATCCACACGGCTGAGCAGCTGCCCTTCGGTCCCTTCTGCGCCGGTGTGGATGGTCATTGCCTGTCGCCCGAGGTTGAGGACAGGATGCTGCGTGAACTTGATGGCATCTGGTCCGTCTCGAAGGCGGTTCAGGACTATGCTTGGAATTACGGCAAGCTCAAGACTAAATTCCTTGTCCACCCGACTCTGACCTACCTTGATGCCACTCGCTCCATGCCTGTTGTCCGCCACAACATCGACAAGGACGAGATCGGCATGGTCAACCCCTGCCCTCACAAGGGCCTCGCTATTCTTGTCGCCCTTGCCAAGCAATTTCCCAACCTGAAATTCGTCACCTGGAAGAGCTGGGGTTCCCGCTCTGTCCACATGCGCCAGCTCGAGGAGCTCCCCAACATCCGGTACGTACTCCATCTCCCTCGGTCGTGACATAACACTGCTAAAACGCCGCTTCCACCAGAATCGAAAACACGACCAAGAACACGGACGAGATCTGGGACCGCATCAAGATCCTGCTGGCTCCGTCCCTGTGGCATGAAGCCTGGGGTATCATCGTCACCGAGGCCCAGCTCCGCGGCATTCCGGTCATTGCCTCCAACGCCGGCGGTCTTCCCGAGGCCAAGATTGGTCTGCCCTACTGCATCAAGGTCAAGGAGGTCACTGGCGAGCGCTACGCCAACGGTGACTACGTTGTCCCCGACCAAGACATTACCCCGTGGGCCGCCGCCGTGAGCAAGGCCATGCACAACAGGAAACACTACAAGTGGCTCGCCAATCTCACCGCCACCCGCGCTGCTGAGTGGATCAACAGTCTCGATGGTCGCGCCCATGAGATGTGGCTCCAGTCCATGATGGAGGAGGAGTAGAGTACTAGGGCTCTCCTGCCGATTCAAGAGTCCTCAACATCTTTTTTTTTTGCTGCTCGCACTTGCACAGTTGACTGTTCACGCCAACTGCCAGGGCAAAGGCTGTCTAGCAGTACGTATAGCATCACTTACAAATGCTACATTCGTCTAAACTTATGTTCCATGCGCGATGGGGACAATGGATGTGATTGTGGTGAACTGCGTGCCGCTTTTCCCTTTGTTCATCACCAGTTTAGCCCAGTAGAAGATGTGATTTTGTTTAAAACTGCCATCATCCACTCCTTTGTTCGTTGCACTATCCAGCAGAACACAAAGTTTGTGGGTGTTGGGACAGAGGGCCGTAGGCAACAAGTCCTGGTGCATCTGGAACATCACAGAGCCTCCTCAACAAGTGAAGGAGACCCCGGAAAATGTGCCAACAGCGGAGGAACGGCAAAATTATGATGCTGGGATACTTTTTCAGCTCGCATCCAATTCCCGGAGCAGGTTGACAAGCAATTAATCCTTGTCAACCCTCTGACAATCCCCTCCAGATTCCTCACCACGACGTTCCAGCCCCAAGTCCCATTTTCCTCTCTTCCCAGCATGCTCATGCAAGTGTGCGTGCCCCTCACACTTCCAGCCCTACTCCAGCCCTAAGTCACGGGTCACACAACTCGCCCACCCAGAACCAAAACCCAGGTAGGCGCCCAAGGCAGCAACTCCCTCTGACGTGGTCGGTGCTCAGCCCGAAGAATGATGAGCAACCGTTCCTTCCGACCCTTCTTCAAGAGCTTGGTGAGCGTGCAAGGGGGAGTCATCAGGCACGCGTCCGGGTGGCGTAAATGGCGTGAGTTTTGTGTGCGGGATGAAGCGCGCCCCTTGTGCTCGAGAAGGAGGGCTTGCAGCGTAGTGAGTCAACATAGAGCGAACTTGCCTTTGCTGTCGTCTTTGAGGAAAAGAGGTTGGGAAATAGGGGAGGAGCAGTGAACTGGGCCATGTAATTGAGTTCCCTTCTTGGCGCTTATGGATGGCAAAAGCCGGCTCGGCATCGGGAGTGAATAGGTCGGGCTTCGAGGTGTGTCCATGGCTTTGACAGTGGAAGGAGCTTTGAAAAACAGTGTTGTTTCAATTTGCCTTTGGCTGGGGGTTGACAGGAAGGATGGCGATGGGTGTAGATGGTGTTGAGCTGCATGATAGCCGCTTTCCGCATTTTTTAACTCGATTTATTTGTTTTCATGTAGTGCCATTCTTCTCTTCTGTACCTCAGTCTGTTGAATATTTCCCTTTGATTCATTGTTCCTTTAATCTTTGTGATTGTTCAGTGCAACCTCTGTTTGTCTCCGACCACAGGTTATTCTTCTCGCGAGTCGCCGATTTTTGATCAGCATGCTGCATCCGCTCAACACCAACAACGACAACGAGTTCTACTCAATCTATCAACAAAATCCATTTTCTCAAAACCGCACCATCAACGTCGCGAAGCTCACGGTTGTGACGTCGATGCGGGGAACCTACTCACACGGCCCCTATTGAGGTGCCCCTGACTCGACACCTGCCCACCACCGCACAATGACATAACCGCCGAGGGCACAAGGACACCGAAACAACTTTCTGTGCCTATCTTCCTGCTCCCTTAGCAAAGACTATTTGAGCATATTCCCAAGAACCAATACCGAACAACCAGTATGTCCTATCAAGGCAATTCCAACGTCGGCTTCCGCAGCCTGTACGAGTCGCAGAACCAGCGCAACATCAAGCAATCTGAGGTAGACGAGCTAACCCGGCAGACGGGAGAGAACGTCAAGGGGTTTACCCCCAGTCAGTGTTTCCAGCCATTGATTGAAGTCTTCAGCGGTGCTGACGGGTGTCGGATGACAGAAAGCCAACTAGGGGAGGTCAATCGATTACACACGGAGGAGGTGCGCCATCCCTTCCATCCCACGCCGGCCACAAACTGACGGTGCTGTCCTCACGCCAAACAGATACACAGAGAACAGGCTGAGCGGTTCAAGAAGGATCCGACATATGCTGTTCGTTACCCCTTTCCCAAATTCTCCCATACATAACCCTCGCTGGTTGCCAAGTGCGCCAAGCCTCAGGGTTCAGAATCAACCCCTGAGCCCCTGAACCCCTGAGACCTTGGCGGAGACCCTGCATGAAGCCTGACCCAAGCTCTGGCTAACCACAACAACAACACCACCCGCAGGCCGAACTTCATGGAAACAAGCCCAGCAAGGGCGCCATGATTGACAAGGAGTTGCAAGAGGAGGATGAAGCGATGCTGCGAAGGAAGGGGGACGCAATGACAGGGAAGAAGCACTAGGACCCTTTTGGAAGAAGCAGCCTAGAACGCTCTTCATGGGATTTGAGAGCTTGTCATTTGCCAGTACCGTCAACCGACTTTGGATATCACTATTCTTATGACGGGCGTGGCTCGAAAACAATGCTTTGGACG